TTGTCTGGAAAAGGTGCTTGAAGCTAATGTAGTCCCCATTTTTAGAAAGGGCGACTGAAGAGACTCAGGAAATTATAGACCAATCAGTTTAACATGAGCAGTAAAAAAAATAATTGTTTCCTCATTGAAGGTTAAAATAGAAGAATGTCTAGAAATGAAAAATGCAGTAATGAATAGTTGGTATGGATTTCAAAAGGGAAAATTATTATTTGGAAGGTGTTAATTTAAATGGGAAAGAGGAAGAAAAGGACTTTCGAGTACCTTACAACAACATGTTACAACAGTTTACACCACAGTTTAGCAAATCCATTTAAAACAAAGTTAACCAAGTACCTGTATCAAACCCTGGTTTGACCAGACACGATAGTAGGTTTCAGGATTTAAAGGCACTGGAGCAAGTGCAGAAAAAAATTACCCAGATCATGCCAGAAATGTGTGGCTGTATAAAGAACAAAGAAAATTACAACACAGGAACAGGCACTTTGGCCCTCCAAGCCTGCGCTGATCCAGATCCTCTATCTAAACCTGTCAGCTATTTTCCAAGGATCTGTATCCGGAATGGTTGACAGTCTGTGTCACTTTTCTCTTATAAAAAGAAGGCTATGTAGTGACCTCGTTGAGGTGTTTAAAATTATGACAGATTTTGAGAAGATACAATGAGGATCCACATCACCAAGAAATCCAAAAGGGAATATAAAGAAGCTTGTTCCCTTGTGGTTTCAAGTTTCAGTTACTCATCACCCTCTGGGGAATGTTTGAAGTGGATAGTATAGATGCATTTAATGGGAAACTAGGCAAGCATTTGAGGGGGAAGGGAATTGATGGTTACGATGGTAAGTTTAGATGAGGAAAGTTAGAAAGGAGGCTCAAGTGGAGGATAAAGCATGACATTGTTGGACAGAATGGCTTATTTCTATCTCGCATGACCTATATAATCATATGAAATTGGGTAAATACGTGTTTTGTAAACTGACATCACATAATTCAATTAAAAAGTTATAGCTGTTGCAAAACAGCTCAAATGATAAAATCCTGTTCCATTACTGTCCACACAACACACAGATGTTGCAAGAATGCTGTCTTGTGTGATAGAGCTCAGCTGGCTAATGTGTTTCACCATTTTCACATGGGAATCAGCACCTGATCATACAGCAGCCTAATGCCTTCCAACAAATCTTAAAACATTATTTGTGTAACGTTTTCCAATCCTAAGTTCATTGTTTAAGAGAAATCACAATTCATTAGGAAGCATAATTTTTACCATTGTATTTCTCTCATTCTGTGTCATTGAACTTTACACATTCAGCAGCCTTCAGTTCAAATGAGGAACCTACATTTAAGCTGTATACTGCTTTGACAGACTACTGGAGATGCTTTCACATTACTATAATGCAGGTATTGGCAAACACCCAGCTCACTCCCTGCCAGACTTGGATTTATAAACTGCCTCACCTCCACCTGATTCATTTTTGTGAGATTTTGTGAAGTATTAACAGACCTATCCCCACTTCTGGTATTCTAAATGCTTTGAGCTGGTTCAGTCGTCAATATTGTTGATTAATATTTATATGAATGATATTAATAACATGTAGCATAATGTTAATTATGGCATATTGCTACTGGCATAAATGCAAATGCCAATATGAAAACATGAACCTAACAGTGTGTACAGAAAATGCATCTCCATCATGCCAGTCAGCACTTTTGAGTGATGCTTGATAATAAAGTTAATGGATGGAGATAATGCGACTGGGAGGTTTGTATTGTGCTGCTTTCCAAGCTGGAGTTTATTACAGCTCAGGGTAAAAGCTCCTTAAGTGCATGACAAACAAACCAACTGAATTTGTGAACTTAGTGGCATAGTGAGGTGAGCAGTGACAAGCTAAGCTTTCATTCCCTGCTGCTGTGGTACTGTGTGACCTAGCCAACACCATACAAATGTTTCAACAATAGAGTTTTCATTTATGCATACGTGAAGTTCAACTGCACTTTGCCATGGCAATGCTGTCTGACATACAACTAGTAGAGTGTGGGAATTGCAGAGGTTTTGTTAAGGCACCTGAAAGACTGGAGAATTTGGTTTTCCTGTGTTCATTTCAGAAAATATAAGTACTGAGAATACATTCTCAGTGAGCAATGCCTTGGGATGAAATATTAGAATAATAAGTGGTTTGATCAGAAATTTCTTAAACCCAGTTGTGCTTCTTATTTTTAGTGCATCAGTATTTGCTAAACTAAAGCTAACAATTAACAGTGACAGAAAGGCTCTTCTGATATGTTTTCTTAGGAAAACCTGACTCTTTTTTGATCTGTGCAAAAATTATTATACTTTAATGCTCCTCCAAAACAAATCACTCTCACACATACACATACACTCACTCACACACGCACAAACACACTCACAGTCTCTCCCTGCCACCCCTCTCTAGTTCTGCCTTTCTCTCTCTCTCTGTCACTCATGGGAAACGAACGCCATGCAAAGTCATACCTGAGCATGCAATCGGAGAACACTTGAGGCAGCGGAGAATAAGCTGTTGGTACCAGTAGGTCTTTGAGGATTATTCAGTAAATTTTTGACTCTTGTCACGGCATGATCCATTTGTATATGGTTGAGGTACCTTGAATAATCTGAGAGATATGATTATCATCCTCATCTACATTTCATAATTCTTGATGTTGTTGTGGGCTTTTTCCCATCACTGGAAAATAATTGGAATTTGAATCAAATGATTCACTACATCGATATATGAATCATTGACTTGAGATTCAACTGATGTTCTTGAGATAATGCACTGCTGCTTTCTCAATTTCAAGCAGCTATAATTTCTGATTTCATCAAAGGAAGTCTCAGAGTGGTTTGATGCTGGGACCAGCTAGTTGATGCATGTTATCAGTTCCTTTGATATGAGGTTAAATGATACTTGCAAGAATTCTTTAGGAAACCAAGTCCCATTGAATCACAAAACAGTTCCTGGCCAAGGAAAAGGATTTGAACGGGACAGGGTGAAGATGACTGAACTTGCTGATAAAAAGCAGAATGGTAATCGTCAAATGTACACCATTCTATTGAACTAAATCTTTCTGAAAGGTAATTGACCAGTTTGGGATTTTAGATTCTGCATTGACACTATTTTCTTGTTTGTGTGTTTTAAGCTTTTTGACTTAAAATATAATTCTGTAAACCTCTGGCCAAGTTACAGGTCGTTCTGAAATGACTTTAAAAATGCTGTTTGAGAATGTCTTAAATCCTGTTATTGAGCTATAATAAATCCACATTAATGGAACTCGGTTAATTTAGTTCTTACATCCAGGCTTTATTTATGAAACCTAGCTGCCAACCTTCATTTCCATTTCAGTTCAGCCTAATGAACAACTGGGCTTTGTGCAGTGGGTAGCAGTTGTGTAGACCAACGTGTAACTATCACATTGGGATGTCACCAGGACTCTGTTTCATCCAAAATCTTGTTTAACAAGTACATATAAAAGAGGAGACTTTGAATCCTGTGTGGCCTGACTCTATGTTTATTTTAAATTAATTTGTATCATTGATAACTTTGTGGGCATTTTTGTTTCTGCATGTAATCTAATTTAGGAACAGATCAAAGTAGTTTTTGTTCTACATATTGCTTTGATGATTTTGGCATATTGTAGTTTTCACTGTCTTTATCTTGTGGCTTTTAGTGCAATATATTTGGTTAAGGGTAATTATTAGTTCTGTGCCATGCTTTGTCAATCATGGCATGTATAAACAATAGATTTTAGTTTATAGGAGACTTGGAAACCGCTTCAGTGTTGGCTGGGCTAAGCAAAGGGTTGCGGAGAATTCAATTATTAACTTGTGCTTCCAACAGCTGTAGGTATATGATGGTCAGGGGAGGGAACCCTCACTGATTCTGGTTTCCCATAAAGTCAATTGTCCTTCCTACCAACTCTTAAGTTCAGAAGGTCAAACCTTAAAAAGTCCTGCCTATGTGAGAGACCACTTCTCACGAACAAACTCACAACTGCTTGGCAAGTAGCCAGCTGATCACCTCACAGTATTCCAGAGATATGTAGAACGGAAACAGAGCCTTGAGTCCAACAAATATCCTAAATTAATCGAGTCCCATTTGCCAGCATTTGGCCCATATCCCACTTAAACCTTCCTATTCATGTGCCCATCCAGATGCCTTTGAAATGTTGTAATTGTACCAGCCTCCACCACTTCCTCTGGCAACTTGTTCCATACATGCACCATCCTCTGCATGAAAAAGTTGCCCCTCAGGTCCCTTTTAAATTTTTCCCCTCTTGCTTTAAACCTATGTCTGCTGGTTTTAATGCTACCCTGGAAAAAAGACCTTGCCTAATCACCCTGTACATGCCCTTCATGATTTTATAAATCTCTATAAGGTCACCCCTCAGCCTTCAACACTCCAGGGAAAATAGCCCCAACCTATTCTGCTTCTGCTTATAGCTCAAATGCTCCAACCCTGGCAGCATACTTGTAAATCTTTTCTGCAACATTTCAAGTTTAACAACATCTTTCCTATTGCAGGGAGACCAGAATTGAAAGCAGTATTCCAGAAGTGGCCTAACCAATATCGAAGGAATATTTTTACAAACTACCAAAATAGTATACAAAAAACCCCTCCAAAACTGTATGCTTTGCAACATGCAGATCAACATTATACTACTGAACTGGAATAAATGCTTATAAGTTCACAGGGAAAGGTCATAAGAATGAGAGTAAGGTACTAGCTCTTGCAGTGAATCAGCATAGGAGTAAGGGATGATGGACACCCTGTGTTTTGAATACTTTGTTTCCAGGGTAGAATCCTGCAAAAGTAAAAAATTATGCAAGATAAAATATTTTCTCCTGTTACGTTGCAATGTTAAACATATGGAATCTGACCTCAATTGACAAGATGTCCTATAATATCGAAGAACTATATCTGACATTAAATCCCCAGTAATGTCATTGTCCCATTTGAAATTCATTGTGTTTATATTTTTTTTTGCAGAATGATCTTCAGTGGAGTCTTGACTCTAATCCTTAGTTGGGGATCCCTGGGTCTGGATACCTCTGCTGCTGTGGTAAGTGATGGAATGATTCTTTTGACCTTTCCTGCTGTATGTGGAATTTCTTGTAAGTGAATATTGGGTAGAAAATGGTACATGTAAAGCAGCAGTAATCCTTGTAGAATCTAAAAGTTTAGCTATTACTGCATTGTGTACTTTTTTTTGGAATCAAAGCCTGTTTTGAAAATGGGAGGTGGGGAGATGGGAGCCGATATCAGGAGCAGAAATTCCATTGTTACAAAACTTTCCTAATGGCAAGAGCAAGTAGGAAGTTAATTGAAGCAATGAATTGGCCAATTAACAGTAGTTTAGACCCAAGTTGAAGTCCCAAGTGTGTCATAACATCTTTGAACAGGTTGATCAAAAATAGTTTTTGAGGGTTTTTCAATTTTGCACATGGTGCATAGGAACCATTGGGTTTCAGAGACTCACTTGTTTAAAGGAGGCAGCAAGGAAACAGAAGCTCACTGTTGGCTCCCTCCACTACACATGTGAGAGTCAGTATGGTATGCCAGGGAGGATGGAACACCAAACAATGCTAGGAAGGGGATGTTGGTGGAGGTTCTACCACTACAGGTGCATGCTGCACAAGTGCCATTGGGGTAATGCCACATCATAGAATCCATACAGTGTGGGTACAGGCCATTCGGCACAACAAGTCCACACCAACTCCCTGAGGAGCATCCTACCCTGACTCACCCCCCTACCCTATCCCTGTAACGCTGCATTTCCAATGGTTAATCCGCCTAATCTATACATCCCTGGACACTATGGGTAATTTAGCATGGCCAATCCACCTAACCTGCACATCTTTGGACAGTGGGAGTAAGCCAGAGCACCTGGAGGAAGCCCACGCAGACATGTGCAAACTCCACACAGACAGTCGCCTGATTTAGAATCAAACCTGGTCCCTGGCGCTGTGAGGCAGCAGTGCTAACCACTGAGCCACCATGCCACCCCACTTGAGTAGAAGAAGCACACTGCCACAGATTGGCCTCTCCGTTTGTCATTTGTTAACTGTCTGGCTGCAGGACAATTGTGTAGCCAGCCGATTCCTGCCCAGACAGAAGCTGGACCTCACTCTCAGTCCTGACGTCAGCACCTGTGATAAAATCAAGAACTGTGGGTACTGGAAATCTGAAACAAAATCTGAAATCGCTGGGCAAACTCAGCAGGTCGGGCAGCATCTGTGGAGAGAAAGCAGAGTTAATGCTTCAAGTCCAGTGACTCTTCTTCACATCTGTTCTGACAATTATAAAGAAAGCAGGAAAAAACTTAAACAAGAAATTAGGAGGGCTAAAAGGGGCCATGAAGTGTCCTTGACAAGCAGGATTAAGGATAATCTCAAGGCATTTTGTATGTATATTAGGAGCAAGAGGGCAATGAGGGAAAGGGTGGGTCCACTCAAGAATAAAGGAAGGAACTTATGTGTGGAGCACGAGGAAGTGGGTGAGGTCCTTAGTGAGTACTTTGCATCGGTATTCACCAAGGAGAGGGACATGGATGATGGCCACATTAGGGAGGGGTAAGTTGATATTCTGGGGTATGTCGATATTAAGAAGGAGATGTTGGTTATCTTGAAAGACAAGAGAAGAGATTGCTGGGGCCTTGACAAGGGTCTTTGTATCCTCTTTAGCCACAGGTGAGGTCCCACAGACTGGAGAATATCCATTGTTGTTCCTTTGTTTAAGAAAAGCATCAGGGATAATCCAGGAAATTATAGGCTGGTAAGGAGACTATTGGAGAAGATTCTTAGAGACATGATTTTCTTGCATTGGGAAAAGAATTGATCCATCAGTGTGGCTTTGTGCGAGGGAGGTCTTGTCTCACAAGTCTGATTGAGTTTTTTGAGGAAGTGACAAAGGTGATTGATGAGGGTAGAGCAGTAGATGTTGTCTACATGGACATTACCAAAGTATTTGACAAGGTCTCTCATGATAGCTGATCCAGAAGATTAAGTCACATGGGATCCACAGTGAGTTGTTAAGTTGGATGCAAAAGTGGCTTGGTCATAGAGGACAGAGGTGGCTGCAGAGAGATGTTTTTCTGACTCGATCTGTGACCCGTGGTGTTTCACAAGGATCAGTGCCGAGACCTCTGTTATTTGTCGTATATATATAAATAATTTGAATGAAAATGTAGGTGGTCAGATTAGTAAGTTTGCAAAAGGCATCAAAATTGGTGGAGTTGTGGATAGTAAGGAAGATTGTTAAAGCGTATAGCAAGATATAGACCAGTTGAAAAGCTTGGTGGAGAAATGGCAGATGAAGTTTAAGTATGAGGTGATGCATTTTGGGGGGTCAAATGCAAGAAGAAAATGTACAGTGAAAGGGAGGACCCTTAGGAGCATTGATATACAGGAGATCTTGGAGTGCAAGTCCATACCTCCCTGAAAGGTATATAGTACGCTTATCTTCATCAGCCAGGGTACTGAGTATAAAAGTTGGTCCGTCATATTGCAGCTGTAGTTTAAAGCTTTAGTTAGGCCACATTTGGAGAATTGTGTGCCACCTGGTTGTCACAGTATAGGAAAGATGTGGAGGCTTTGGACAGGGTGTAAAAAAGGTGTACCAGAACATTGCCTGGATTGGAATGTATTAGCAATAAGGAGAGGTTAGATAAACTTGGATTGTTTTCGGTACAGCATCGGAGGTTGAGGGGTGACCAGACATAAGTATATAAAATTATGAGAGGCGAGTGGATAGTCAGAATCTTTGTCCTAGGGTGGAAATGTCAAATACTAGGGTGCATAGGTCTAAAGTGAGAGGGCAAAAGTTAAACAGAGATGTGCGATACAAGTTTTTCTTACAGAAAGTGGTAGGTGCCTGGAACGCACTGCCAGGGGAGCTGATAGAAGCAAATATGATACCAATGTTTTAAAGACATTTAGACAGACACATGTACAGGCAGATAATAGAAGGGTATTGACCATGTACAAGCAGACAATAGAAGGGTATTGACCATGTACAGGCAGATGTGATTAGTTTAGAATGGATCATGGTCAGTGCAGACATATTGTGTCGAAGGGCCCGATCCTGTGTTGTACTGTTCTACGTTCCATGTAAGAAAAAGTGTTTTTCCCTACCCTTACTACGTACATGCACATACATGTTTAATTATTTATTTCCTAGCAGAAGGGAACATATAGCTCCTCTTTCCCTCCCCTCAGTGATTCCTGCCAGACTGCTAGCAGCTGAACAAAAGCTGACAGTGTTTTTCAATTTTAAGCTTTCTGTTCCATCTCGAATAAAGTGCCTGCCTATTTTTCATCTTCCAGATAGTTGCCTCAATTCAAAAGGCTATACATGTCAAATCAGATACATTAGCCTCCCTGCTGCCAAGGCTTCACAAAATGATGTGATCAGCAGTGAACTCAGTCTGCAGAAGCCGTCACTACAATTCTGGAAATGGTTGATTTAATTTGACAACCCTTCAGACCACAATGCACCTTGTAGGTTTGCAGTTATTTTGAAGAATAACTCATGTGACCTGTAAATCCTCAAAACAAATTGTGCTTTAGATGAAAATCTAATTCAGATCCTTTCCGGTATTCATGTTCTAGTTTTTTATGTTTATGTTGATCGTTTTAAGTAGCGCAGATTTTAATGCTTTTGACTGGAATGTATTTCGTGGAAATGAATCTGAAATTGATGAGCAAAATACAGGCCACAGACCAAAGCTGGGCTGACCTGGTTTATCACGGTTCAAGTTGTTCAGTTTTATGACAGATTTTACTAGTCTCAGGGTCTTTTCTTAAAAAAACGAAAAAGCCAAGCTCTGCAGTAACTAATCAAGCATGGCATCAATGCACCCAAGCTCAAGAAGGGAGAAATTGACCAATTTGTATTCTTTTGGTCAATATCTGGAATTTGGTGCTTATCCGCATCTGATGATTTGATCAGAAAGTGATGTGCTTTACAGTTAAACCCCTTCCAGGCATCTACAGTCCAGCTACAAATGGAGAAGAAATGTGGCATCGGCACTTTTTGCAGTGCCTAGAGGAGATGAGCTGAGGAGGGGGTGACCATGATTTATTGACTTGACTGTCTGGTTAACCCCATTTGTACTTAGAAATTTATAGGGATCCAATTCAGGAGGTAACAATACTCTGGGTGCTGGCTTCAGAGTGCAGCGCACTTCAGCCAAAGTAATTAGTGGTAACTAAAAGCTAATTAATCGATTAAGCGATTCAGGAATCGGTGAGCTGCATGCTTTCACAAGAAGTAGTTGAGGTGAATAGAGAACAAATGAAAGGCTTATGTTACATGTTTTTCATGAGCATCTGACATTTCAAAGCCTTTTGCAATCAATGAAGCGTAATATAGGAAATGCAGCAGTCACCTTGTACTCAGCAAGCAGCAATGCGATAATGACCAGAAGACCTGTTTTTGTGATGTTGATTGAGGCATCAATCTTGGCCAGGCTATCGGAGATAACCCCCGTGTTCTTTGAACTTGTGCCATGAAATCTTTCATTTCCACCCATTTCCACATGCAATCAGGATCTTGGCTTAACATTCCAACCAATAGACAGTGCAGCACACCCCCATTACTGCACTGCAGCCTCAGGCCGAGTGCGGCTTGAACCTGGACTCTTGTGACCCAGAGGGCGTAAATGCATTTAAGGGGAAGCTAGATAGCTAAGTATGAGAGATAAAGGAATGGCGACATCTGCAAATGGGCGTGTTGTGAGAGGCGGCTGGATGGATGGCAGGTCGAGAGTGAGGAGGCTGGAGGGGAGCCTCACCTTTTACTCGGTATCTCCATTCCAATTGAGTCTTAATCAAAGCAAGTAAAGGTGACATTTATGAGTAATCAATTCAGCTGAAAAAGTTGGTGTGCCTTGTAATTGTTTGTTTCATCGAAGTGTGCCTTGATACTGAAAAGGTTGGGAGCTACTGTTTTATGCCAAACACACAATGTGGCTGCTGGAAAAAGGAGCTGATAGTTCTACCTGCAATTAAACACAAAAAATATTTCCCTAAAAAAACAGTGGCAGATAAGCTTCCTTTTATT